CCCATTGGGGGAGATGGGCGGCATACAAGTTTAATAATAAATAAATAAAATAAATACTCCAATCGATAACAGAATCTTTTTTAAATGTTATAGATCATTGCCTTTAGACTACAGACTTTGCAATTTAATTAACACTGTGGCAAAGAAAAAATTATGTTAGATTCCTGTTAACCACACTAGAGACTTGGGCAGCAGAAAAAAATGTCTTCGGGGAAGAACAAAAAGGGTTTAGGAAAGGGTATACTGTGATTGATAACTGAGTTGTTTTAGAACATTTCATGTGTAAATATACAAAATTTAATAATGCAGTAAGTTAATAAAATACACTTTGAATAAAACATAATCCATAAGACATACTACATTTATCTGTCTGGTGCCAATGACTCTACTACAGGTAGTCGTCAACTTACAACCATTCATTCAGCGACCGTTCCAAGTTACAACAACACTGAATGAAGGGACTTACGACCGGTGCCCAAAGTTACAGCTGTTGCAGCAACCCTGCGATCACATGATCAAAATTCGGATGCTTGGCAACCTGCCTGCACTTATGACTGCAGGGACGCTTCAACTCACCACACCTACCTATCTCCCCCACATTTATGATCTTTTGGCCCCCTGCACTTCACAGCCCCTGCTGCCCTAGCTGATCTTCACCCTGGCCCTTTGCAAGGCAGCTACTGGCCACATGAGGCTATCTTCCCCAGATCTCATGAGGAAACTGCTGTGCACAACCTTGGGAAGAAAGCCTCGTGCAGCTAACAGTTGCCTTGTGAAGGGCCAGGCTGGGCATCCTTGTCAGCAGCAGGAGCGAGAAGACAATGAAGGCCAGCTGGGGTGGCAGAGTGTAGGACAGCAGGGATCTTGGAGTGCAGGGCAGTGAGGGTGGCTGGGTTGGGGTGGCTGGGGCCTCCTAGGGCAGCAGCAGGAATCAGGAAGCCCCTTTGTGCCATGCTGCTGGGCCAGGCTGGGGCTGGGCTTCGTGCAGTGCAGACGGGCTTCCTGGGGCACCGTGGCTCTGGGGCTTTTTGCTGGGACTAGGCTTTGTGCAGCCCAAAGGGGCTTCCTGGCATGCTGCGGCTCTTTTTGCAGCCCCAGAGCCGTGGCATGCCAGGAAGCCCCTGAGCTCCAGCGTATTCTTTCCCCAGACTTCTGAGCATCGCCACACTGCAGCACCCCCCTTCCCAACTCATGCATGGCCTGCGTTGGCCTTCCAGACCCCAGACTTCCCCCCCAGCACCCCATGCTCCTTATCTGTGACTCCTGCCTCTTCCTGCTTAACACCCTGCGCATCTTGGGGCTACAACAGCAACCAGGACTGCCCGGATTGCTGTTGCTAAGCAATGTGGTTACATGACATCGTGCTTTACAACTGCATTGCTTTGATGGAAATTCCAGTCCCAATTGTGGTTTTAAGTTGAGGATTATCTGTACCATTTAATTTCCAGAAACCTTCCAGAAAAGCTACATTTTAACAAGCTTCCAAAGGCCATGAGAATAGACTTGCCCTCACCTTGGGGGACAAGCCAGAAAAGGGCATACCCCACAAAGAATGCCCTTTTCCTGTTGTACCTCTCAACAGGCATTCTGTGATAGAAGGCTTGAGTGAGGAGGTCCAAGGTCATGGGGAAAGTGAGAAGAATCTCAAGCAACTCCTCAGCCCGCAGCCTGAGCATGTGAAAACTAAGAGGATGAGACTGGCACCATCCTAAGGAATTCAGAGTGTTTAGTTGCGGTCGTTGGGCTTAGAGTTAGTCTGGTGGGATTCTGTCTAGTAGGCGTAAGCTAATAAAGTAACTGAACTGTTCCAGAATTGTCCCGCTAAGTTTCTTGGGCTGAACCTGACACATTCTCTGTTCACCCAAAATGAATCAGCAGAATTTTTCTGGGAAAGATGGTCTTGTAAATACCAAGACCCTAAGCCACAAGCACAACTAAAGCCCAGTTTTACCCCAAGCCCACTTACACTATTCTATGCAACTCAGGAGTTTTAATCTAGAGAGTCACCTTGCAAGGCAGGAATACTGTTACCAATATTCCACAACAGACGGTACAGTGAATATAGTATGATACACAGATACTGGTATGATTTTCCATATGGAAAATTCAAATTTAAATCCTTTTTCATATCTGGAGCTTACTGAGTATCCTTGGGAAATCAAGTGACGTTATAAATAGGCCAAGGTGACAGAATTCTGGACAACATTATTTCAGACACCAGTTTGGTGAACATTTTGAAACATCTGTTCCACACACAAAAGCTTATTCAGTGAACTAGAATAAGCCATATACATTACTATATGGCTATACTAATTACATAATGTAATTTGCCTTCCATTTTCATGCTACATGAACTGAAAAAAATCAGGAAGGAGAAAATAATTGTGACCATCATTCTAATTATCTTTGTTGCCTTTCTTAATTTGGAATAGAAGTGGGTCTATATACTGGTGTCAGTATAATTTCCTGTGAAAAATTGCAAAAATAGTAAGATTTAAAAAACAAAAAACAAATCTTTCATGCTAGGTAACAACCTTACACATCAAGTGAAAACATTAAATTGTTAATATATTGCACTATATTATGTAGGAATATATTTACAAAATCTAACAGAGCCCAAAAGAGTACAAACCAAAACTCTACTAACCCAGCATTTCATATTATATTTTAGCCTTCCCTTTATCACAAAATTACTGTAAATGTAAGAAGAAATGAATCCTATAAGCAACCCTGATCTTCTCAAAGAGTGGCATACAAATGTATGAAAATCAGTGTAATTTGATTTCACGTTCATACTCTTTTACCCAATGCATTAAATATATGTTCAATTGCAATTTAAACCGATCTACACCGAAGAAGATTGCTTTCTTTATTCTTACCTGAAATGGTGACTGATTATTATAGTTCTTTAATTCCTTGTTTGCACCCCGTAACAACAATACTCTTGCACAGCTGTCCTGTAAATAAGTAGTTTGTTACAATCTTCATTTCTATATGAATAATAATAAGCAGGCCATCTGAAGCCACAGACTTTTTAAAAACTGTTAATAATTATCTTAATCCCACTCAGACAGGGACTAGGTTTTTGGAAAAAGACATTCTGTTACTGTATTTATCAATTACAATAAAAACTAACTGGGGATGGAGCACTGTTTGCCACTGTGAGAACTTTTTTCCCCTAAGCCCAATCCAAAAATACATCCAAATAATGAGAAAAGTAATGTAATTTTTTTTTAACTCCTAAACCAAAATGGACAAAAGTTGCTCCATTTTGGACTTCAGGAAACTGTCAGTTCTTTTCCTCGAGCTAATCAGTTGGAGACTGGGTGTGTTACCCTCCTTTTCTGTTCTTGTTCTTTCACACACTCTTTTCCTATCCGGAAGGAGGAATGGTGTCAGCCAGCCTGTTTTAATCAGTTTGGAAGTATTTTAAGTTTGAAACAGCTGTAGAAAAAAAAAAAGAATGCAGTACAAAGACAGACTTCCTGCTTATCTACAGATGTTTTGGGTTTTATCACCTATCAACTTTAGCCAATATAGCCAACAAAAAAGGACAAGGGATGTTGTAGGCTAAAGAAGGAATTATTGTAAAATATATTGTAAAATAAGATATTGTTCTAGTCCTGCCTGAGGCACAAAGCCCTCTGAGTGACTTTGGGCCAGTCACTCTCTCTCAGCCCTAGGGAGGAGGCAATGGCAAACCACTTCTGAAATCTTGTCCAATGAACTTACACAGTTTGAACCAGATATTATTATACACTTCCCAACTATCATTTATTACACTGTGATTTCTCCCTGGAAAGATTCACAGATACTCAAGTAGACAGTAGTTAATGTATTTTTTAAAAATCTGCAATAGGTTCCAGATTTAGTTTCTGATTTATTAAATGCATTCATCCTAATCACTACTGACTTCAATAGGACTGAAATATTATTCATAACATTCTTCTAAATGAAGACCAATAGAAACTTTTATCCCTAACGTAAACAAGTAAAAGGTTTTGATAACCACTACCAGATAATTTTCTGTTTCCAGCATCTTAGTCAGGGATGGCAATTGTTTTGGGGCTGAAAGTTACACTTTTTTGAGCCTCCAAGGACAGCAGAGAGAAAGTGATGCTGAAATACTGTCATCAATAGAGGGGATGGGCCAAAATTTAAGGCCCTTATTGGTTTGGGGATTAGTGGATTAGAGGGGGTTTTTTTCGTTTTTTTTAAAGGAAGAAGATGGATTTTTTTTTTTTTTAAGGTAAATTATGTTAAGCTTATTTTGAGTTTTAAGAACTCAAGAAATCATACCACCCTGAATTGGTGAGTTGCCACATATTTTGGTAGCACAGTTTCTGGGGCTCCAAGGGCAGCTATAATGGAGCTATGGGGACTTTGGCTGTGTCCCCTAATTTAAACTAAAAAAAAAAATTAAGTGAAATATAATTTATCTTCCAACTACATTATACATCCTCAATTATAAAAATAAACTATAAACATTGCCCATCAACTGTAGCAGAAATAAGACACTGTCAAAAAGTGCTTTGTTAGTTACAGTATATTACTTTTTTTTCCCCATGATACGTGTCCTTTTGCATTTTTTCCTATCATACTAATAGAGTCATCTCCAACTACTAATCCTTTCTAAAACAAACAGGCATTTTAGCCTAGCAAGGAAAGGAAATATGTTTGCTTTGACAATGTTTTCACAATTGAGCAGTAATTAAGAAGCAGATGTTTTAACAGATGTTACAACTGGCCTCATTACTTGTGTATTTCTAACGCAGAGCAGCATTATAAACCCAATACTGTAATACTGAAGTTTTGGAAATAAACTAAAACCTTGTTTGTCATAAATATAAAACCTATTGGTTTTAACAAAACTAATAAAGATGATTTGTGTGACACAGGGAGATATCATCATTTATGCATAACATCAAAAATAACCAGAGATTTATACCGTAAAATATGTTATTTCCCATAATCACATTGTGTACACCATTTGTACAAATGTGTGTGTATGTCAACTAACTGATTGCTTTCTTCTGGTGGGTGAAATGACCAGGGTAAATAATTAACTTCTACTTCCTCTTATAAAACCTCCAGCTGTTTGTATGAAAAAATCTAGCCAAGTTAAACCATTAAACTTCTCAGTTATTATTTCATTATCTTCTCTGATTATTCCTCAGTTTGTTCTACCCCAGTCATAGCTTCATCCTTTTACTACTCCCATTTTGATATTCTAACATGATACAGAATTGTTAACTAGCCATAGAATTATTAACTGCTGCTTTAACTTGATCTCGCTAGATCCAGGAATATCCAAGTACATGGCCCAATTCCAAAAAATAAAATGTATCCCACTTCCCCAAGACATCCCACTTCCAAATAAATGTATTCATGGACTGTATTTTAGAATTTTTAATAGCTGATTCCCTAAGGTAGTCACCTTCTACGGGCTTATAAGAATCTTTGTATTGCTACAGTGGAACTGACATCCAAACATGATTACACCAACTGGCCTAGTTCAAACATAATACAAAGCCAGATTTTTTTAAAACAATAGTTTAAACTAATCACATACCAACCTAAGCAAAAATCAAACAAAAGACATTATGAACCGGTATTACATGTGAACCAGGTTGCTGTTTCCAGCTGTTACAAGTGTTCAAAAAGCCTGCCTAAAAATCCCCCAAAATAGTTGTGTACAAAAATCAGCATTCCAGAGATAGATAATACATGAAAACTCCAGTTCCTTTTGGATCATACTGATCTCACTATGTCATAGATAATATAATAGTCTTCTATTAGTAAATTTTCCAGAATAGTAAGTAGTTCATGATATTCTGGACATGAAACAACTAGGTCAGCATGATCTAAAAAAAGAGTAAGTTTCTCATCCCTATACAAAACATCGACACGTGCAGAGATTAATACATGCTATTGTTCTGCACATAACTAGTTATGTATGTCACCATGAATAACTATTGCTTGACTGAAAAACTGACTGAGCATCACGTATGCTAATAGTAACTTAAATTTTCTCATCATATGAATGCAAACTACACTACCCATGCTATAAGAGAATATTTCTCTATTACATCAATAGCAAAACTGTAATAACTAACCTGATTGTAAAGTGCACAGATATGCAACGCTGTGTTTCCAGATGCATTCTGAGCTCCCATATCTGCTCCATAAAACAGAAAATGTTCTAAATGCTGGACATGCCCATATCGACAAGCCTATAAAATAAAGTGTTCATATTTTAATTAACAATCTGTCAATCGTAACATAAATTGTCATTTATATCCCTGAAATTTTAAAGCTTTGAGAATGATATAAACAAGTTATTTACACTAGATGATGAATACTGACACAAGCAACCAACTGACCAGTTCGGGGGTTTTTTATTTAAAAATGACCAAAATCTCATAACACCTCTATGTTTGGTAAACTAGCAAGATTTGGCTATTTAATTTTTTTAAATTTCTTTTAAAATAACTTTAGAACTTTTTTTACAAGTAAAAATGTTATTTTTGGTGCCTGCAAACTCACATAAAATTATAATTCAGTGCCCACCACCTGATGTCTGCTTTAGACAGCTCAAACATGTATTATTACCAACTGTATAATTAATAAAGTGACCGTCTGCAACTGTTTTTTAAGAGCGACTCCAGTTGGCCCATTTTCAGAAGTACTAAAACACTTGACGGTGAAACATTTAAACTATTTAATTAGAGATTCATACTCTATCTCTAACCCCTAAACATTTTTCTCATCTAGAACAAAAGATATAAATGAAGAATTCAACTTCCCAGATCCTCTCATCAGAAATTGTCATAATGTGGTCCTTCTCTAGTAACATCCTAATCAAATGGATAGCTAACAAGAATAAAAACGTCTATACATTAATTAGATAGATATTTTAAAATAGCACCAAATACAACAAAGAGCATCGTTTTTTTAAGCAGTGCTCATTGGTTATATGGCCTTGCTAACCTTTCATAAGGCATCAGAAACCTGGAAGTTCTCCCAGGCTTTTGGACCAAGAGGTTACATAAGCTCTGTTGGCTGATCTGTTTGGTTCCAATCCCTGGACTGCTTAATTGATTGATTATATTTATTCGGTCAATGACCAGCAAATTTAAAAGAACAAAAACAGAATGAAACAAATTGATACAACAGTATACTAAGAAACAAATCCCATAATAATATTACATTTGTTCCTCTATTACCATATGAATACATTATTCTAGTAATAATAAATCTAAAAAAAATTAATAGCTATGATATAAAACATATATCCCCTAATGACTTATTAAGTTAGAAATTTCAAACCAAAAGTTACGTTTGGAAAAAGAGTACTTCTTGAACCAATTACTTCTTTAACTGTTTTTGCCTTATTTTTGGATTAGAAGTAGAATGTTCTTAAATCTCTGCACTATGCTTATGTTTATTTTGTTGGTTTGGGTTATTATTTATACTGTGCTTTTGTTTTGGTTTTAATCCTTGTTTGCCTCCTAGAGTGAGATGGGTGTCTATATAAATTGTTTCACTAAATAAACAAATAATCTTATGACTGGGTACTAACCTACATTTTAAAAAATCAGTACTCTATTTGGAAAACTTTAGGCATTTTAATAAATGAGTTATTTATTAAACAGGACTACCTTGCTGTGAATTCTGCTTGGGAATAAAACACACTTGGCTGAAAAAGACATGAAATATTTGTATGATAATATCTTCAAACAGCCCCCTATCTAAGGGACTTATATCAATAGAAATGAACTGTTCTTGATATTCTTCCTGCTGTACACCTACTACTGGAAAAGGAAACTGATTTTGAATAGAGGCTTACTCCATCACCTGAAATGTTGGTATGCTGAATTAGCTTCTTGTCCATACTCCTTTGGTTTACAACTAAGAACTGCATTAACAGAAAGCCTATCATCTGACAGTTTGTAACTAAATCTGCTAACCTAAAATGGAAGTGTCATATTAAATTATGTTTTTTAACCAAGGCTTGTTGAGTGAGCCATAGAGGCTAGATAGATAGATAGACAGACAGACAGACATATACTTCTAAGCCATCCCACAGTCTACAAACGTAAGTTGGATTCATATATTAAGCCAAAAGCAAATAAACCACATTACAGCTTAGCTACAATATATATTGATCAATTGATTTTAAAGGAGTACTTCAAGAATACATTTGTCAGCTCTTCCAGTTTATTTTTACAGCCAAAGAAACCAATATATTCCATTTTTATATGAATATTTACTTCTTAGGATTTTATCAATGCTAGAAGTAAAAACTATGTTACAATAAAAAGAATAATGTAGTCCATTGGTCCTATTATAATATGCTTACATATCTATTTTTTTATTATTATTTCATGTTTATTATGTTTCTAAGATACAAAAGTATTAAAATTATGGTTACAGAATGTTTTCTGCTACAAATTGAAATTATCTATTCATAAGCCTCCAAAGTAAAAAAAACACACACAAGGCCACCAGATGGCGCTAGGAATGGTGTTTCTGAGATGTGATTAAACATTTCTTGAGAAATAGCTAAAACCATTTAAAGAAGCATTTTATCATTCTCTGCTCTATACCTCAAGGTCAAGCCACAAGATTATATGTGGCACCATCTTAATATACTTAATATTTACACATATTTAATATGTATATATTTATTAAATACATAATACATAAGATAAATATTTACATACTTAATATTTATACATATAGTAAGGTCACAATTATAACTAATAAAGATATGATGTAAATCACATGGGTAGGTGAGTATATATGTATTAATTATTTATTTATTTATCATATTTATCTGGCCACCCATCTCACAAGATGTGACTCTGGGTGGCATAATATTATAGATATAGATATAGATAATTACATATAAATGTTTCTAGGAAGAAAATTTCACAAAAATTAAAATGTGAGCAATAGCATTTCCATGAAAATTGGAAATTTCTGTTTTATTTTTATTTTACTTTTTACTTGTGTCATGCAACTTCCAAACCTAGAACAGCACTTTCCATAACAGCAATATAATGAAAACCCATGAATAACAAGATTATGTAGCAGGCTATAAATCTATATCTATGGAATGCTCAAAAATATGATTTGCATCATAGACATATTCTCACCCTAAGAAAGCAATTCTTTAAAAAGCAGGAAATAAGTTGGCTGCAAGTACTGGGTATAGTCCATAGCGAGTGTCTGCATGTGTGTGTATACATACATGTATGTATCTGTGTATGGCTGTCTGTGTATCTATATGTGTGTGTACCTGAAATGACTGAAAAAACTCAACTTGGAACAGATGGTTTCTTCATCAGAACAAGCTATTTCATTCCCTACACAATTAGTGGAAGAAAACTTGATTGTAATACATCAATTTTCCCTAACCATGTATTCCTAAATATGTCCTAGCAGTGCTAGCTAGGAAATCTTAGAGTTGCATTCTTGAGTATCAGGAAGGTTATCAGGTTGAGAAAGGTTGCTTTACCCAAAATTAACTAATTACATTGTTCATGTTTACATCATAGATATAAACCAACCTGATCTGTCTCTGATTACAGCCAAAAAACACTATCACAGAATATTTGTGATTGTTCTTAGTGCAAACTAGGATATGCAGTACACACAGAATCTTTTTAATAGAAAATTATGACTGAATATATGACAGTCAAGAAAGACATGAATATACTGGTCTCAGTCAAGCTTTACTGCTCTTCTAAGCAAAACAGGACTTAAGAAACTTATGGATCCATGGCATTAGATACCCAACCTGTCTGTACTAATTGTGCTTTGCCCCATCCTCCCTAGAAGCCACAGATTCAATGCTAGAAATTTGGCAAAGAAATTGTACAAAATCATCATACAAAACACTAGCAGTGGTGTTTTACAGTAATTAAAAACAATATTCCCTAAAAGGATGCCTTTCAGGAATGTCAGTTGACAACTCCCCACTTAGCATAATTAGCTGGTTCAACAAATCTAAAGGAAATCTGGTTATGGAACCTACATTAGAAGAGAAGATAACCTTCCTGGTTGAAAAATGCAATAACTGGGCATGATATGCCTTTATACGTTGTGTCCTTCTCCAGAATAAATTGTCATAGGTATATTAGTCAATGGTCCTACAATCAGTATCATGTTCTTGATCCCTTATTAAAAATGAAAACAAAATGTATACATATTTTATACAAGGAAGACAAGAAATGAGTGAGATTATAGAATGGGGTGTCTCTGATGCATGGCACTGCCCTAAGGGCCAAATTACATATTTTATTAGATTTGTGATCTTTTAATTCAATATATAAATCTAGAAGAATTTTACCTAGAAGACCTTTCTTGGAATTCTGCTCTTCTTTCCCATATCTGAAGTAAGATACTTGTTCTGGTTTTTCCATTGGGGAGAAGGTTTATTTGTGCCACATTTTTAATCACTCACTAAAATTTTGTCTTTATTGTATTTTGAGTTTTATCTGTTAAGTGTCTCTTGAGCTATAGTTGAAAAGTGGCTGGCAAATTAATGAAATAAATAAAACAGGGGTTTAGATCTAAGATTACCAGAGCCATCTATGAGTCCAACAACCAAAATGATCACTTTTCCAAGTTTACCTCCTAAAGCACTGAAAAGTTATATAAACCTGTTGTGGGTTAATTCACCAAGAAAAACTGGGCTAACTAAATAAATGATTAAACTAAATAAACTAAAATGATTAAGATACAACTTGGGAGAGCTTGTCATGTGAACGTACTTATGGTTTATCTCCTCATAATTCCTCAGAATTACTGATATTATGTGCTAGATGAGAAAGTTCAGCATTGCCTAATGAAGAAGTTAATTCTATTGATCAGCTCAAGAGGGCACTATAAGCACTGAGATGAACTTTATAATGATCTAAACAAGATATTTGCACTTTCTAAAAAACTGAAGCACATTCAGTTCTACCAGTGACGGAGACTCTTTGCAACAACAGGAACCACAGGACACTTACACTTTAATCACTATATGACAACTTTCATTTAAGGAGTAGTAAAAACATACCTACATCTTTCATTATAGCACAAAACCTGAAAGCAATATCTGATAATATCTGGAATGGTGCATCATCTTATTATCTCACTATCTTTTTACCAACACAATAAATAAAATTTTCATTTTGTTAACAAAATTAACATGTATTAACAAGAAGTGTAAACCAGCCATTTAGAGAAACAGAACCATAATTGGTTAGAAGGGAAACATCAGAATCAACTGAAGAAGTTACTAAAATAAATAAATAAATCCTCTCCTCATAATGAAGTTCAAGTGAGCAAAGAAAATAACACAGAAAGGCCCAGTAGTGAAGCAACATGAATATTTTCACTGAGACTGCTAAAAATCATCAAAAAGCTGATGCTTTCTTGAAAGTGAACACACAAAGTAAAGAGTTTCATCTTTGCATCCCTAAATGAAATAGCTTTCTGTGCAAGAGTGAACAGGTACTAAAGCCGTACGTTAGCATACAAATTAATATCCAGTATTTATAGAAACAGCAATAAAAATATGTTTCAAATTGCTGTATGATTTTAGTAAACAGCACTTCTATTTAAAGCCATTTTTACTGAAGTAAATTTATAAGTACAGTAATTTGGAGGATTCCATGGAACTGATTTCAGAATCTTTTCTTCATAATATTTTTTCATTACGTAGATTATTATAAGATTACAAATTATCTGAGCAAAAGATAAAAATGTGTCAGAAAAACCAATAATTTTTTAGGGTATCTTTCTACCTGGTGGATTTCCTGCCATCCATTTTCATCTCTGCAACCAACCGTAGCATACTCGTGTAGTAGCAGCTCACAACAATATGGATCTCCTCCTACTACAGCAGTGTGATACAATGGTGTCAACCCACAGCTATCTTTGTAGTTTGGAGATGCTCCAAGCTCTAAGAGGGTCTGTAAAGTAATTTTAAATTTTAGCAAAAGTAAATTAGTAATTAAAAAGTAAATTAGTAAATTATCATTATTTTTATATTTTTATCCTTTTCAGTATAGTGGTAAACTGATTGTGCAGTCTATTGTATACTTGAGAACAGCTCTCAGAGAACATAGTGAACCATCTGATTACATAATTTGTTGTTTTTCCCTTTAGTTAAGTCATTGTTTGCTGACCAAACAGAATGATGGGTTTATAATACTAATCCATAAATTATGGTTTACAAACCACAATGGCTGGATTCACACATTACACTAAGCCAAGATAAACAAATCACATTATAATTTTGTGTGCTGTGTAAATCCAATATGTTTCTGATGTTAAATACACAAAGGTATGAGTTGTACAGTATGACTATATACTTGGAAACGCATTAGGTTAAACCTATAGGATTTTTACTAGCTATATATTTAGGATTAAAATATCAGGCTGTAAAAAGAAATCCCAGCAATGTCTGCAGAATCTTGAATGCCAACTCCACCTCTTTTAGGAAGTCAAGAGACATCGTGAAGCAGATAGAAAAGAGCTAGGCTTGCATCATGACATCCCAACACCAATTCCCCTTTGTCCCCCACCCCTCCATGTGCAGCTGCTGCTGGGAAGTACATTTTACTTGAAAAGTCTAATTTTCAAATTTAGGATAGAGGCAAAGAAAAGGGATAATTCATGCCCTTCTTCTTTTCTCACCTCCTGCATTTTTTTCTCACCGCAATGAAATCCATAGAGTTGTGGGGTAACGTAAAAATATTCATCAGTATATAATCACAAAGAAATGATATAAGATCATAATAACTATGATTACTCTTATCTAATAATTAATAATTCAGGCATTCAGGAGATAACTATTCCAGAATCTGACTGTATTATAAGCAGGATCTGTATGCTTTCAAATTGAGAAAGCAAAATAAATTAATGATTATTAAAGGACAAGCAGAACAAACACATTTTAGGTTGAAACCGCTGTGATAAATAACCTTTGAACTATTCCATTTTCCCAAAGACAAATATTACATTGTATGACAGTTAACACAGTAAAGTTTCAACATCCTTTTCCTTTCTACCAAATGAATTCTTTGTTGAAAGTAAGTCTTGAAAGCCAAAAGCCAAAGATAGAAACCTTTGAGCAAATCTAGATTTAAAAATCCATTAAGCACACTAGAAATTAATGCAGAACTTTTTACTTATATCTCTTTTATTAAACAATATGCCTTGTTCAATTTACCTTCAGGGTCACTTGGTTCTTGGCTCTAGCTGCTTTATGTAATGCTGTCATTCCATCTTTGGCTCTAAAATCTAAATGAGCTCCTCCGTTTTTCAGTGCTTTGATTACTTCTGTGGTATTGCTAAGTTGAGCTGCCAGAGTTAATGGGGTTTCTACAGTAGACAAGAAAAAAAATAAACAGTCTAGGAGTCAATAGGGTTTTATTATGCATTTTCAACAGTTCAAATCAAATCAGATGTTTATTACGGTCATAGGCCAACATATTCAACAGTTCACACATTCAACATTTTTCATTTTTAATTAAATAAATTAGTTTCTCACTAAGAATTTTGTTTACTTCATACCTCCACTTTCTAAGTCATGATAGTTAGGATCAAGTCCTCGGTCTAGCATCTTTATTATTTTTTCAACTGAGTGGTGATGAACAAGGTCCATACATTTTCGAAAATTAGCCTGAAAATATTAATTTGGAAAATATTTACTGTAGGATAAGCATTTCACTTATAGGAAAAATTATTGATTTTTATACACAATCATGCATAAACATTCACAATTCTGTCCACATTCAACACATCTTCTCACCTACTACTTATTTACCTCTGAAATGTAAGTTCAAAGACAACTCGCAAAGCAGTATATTGCATATTGATGCACTCCTCTATATATGTATTATTAAGATCTTGCAAATGCACAGACATAAAATGCTTCCCTATTCCATTTTACAATAATAGAGATTAGGTTGTAAATTTCAGGTAGAGCATATCTTAAGTCTTACAGGACATTCCAGACAGATGAGAATTACTTTATCTCGCACTCTCACAAACACATGCCTTAATTAAGATTGAGCAAAATAATGAGGGATAAAATTATCAATGATTATCAGTTATGATAGCTATATGCTACTTGCAGAATTAGAAGCAAGATCCTTCTGTAGTTGCTAAGAAACAAGCCTATAAAATTACCATGCCTTGGAGGCCCAATGAAGATTAGGATAACTTGCAAATAATAAACTAACGAATGTTAAGAAGCATATTGAGTTGTTTATAAAACACTACATTTAATTTCCCTAGTTTGCATAGATATTCCTCACTGTTACCCTACTAAATATTTGGTTTGAATTTTAGATCATTTCTGGCTGGCTATTTGATTGCTTCAGCAATACTGTATCTAACTGGGATACAATATCATAGGTTAACATTCATGGACACCAATATCCACAGGGGAGTTCACTGACATTGTACATATGTACAAAGAGGTGGGGCTTCAATCGCACTGCTGTGACCACCATCTTGCCTTTTATGACTCTATCTGCAAAGGGACAACATCACCACACCAGTGCTTAAACTTATTAACTTGTGCTATATGCCATAATGGAAGTACGGAACAGCATTTGCATAATGATGTCACCAAGTGCACGCTGTCATTCTGGCATTCTTACTCTTTGTTCCAGACAATACAATTAACATTATTTTCAATTTATAACATAAAAACAGTATTTGAAGTAAAGAAATAGCACAGAACCTGCCTCATACCATCTCTGTTGTGGGTGCATCTTTTTGGTTTTCAAAATTAAAATGTTATTCCATTAACTCCAAAGACCCCTAAAGGATTTATTTCTCTTGCTGCCATCCTCAAACTCTTCCTCTGGTTTAGAAATATTTTTGCCCCTCATTTCTCTATATCTTTGAGATAACATGACTAGGTGGAGCATGGGGAAAGATATAGGATGGCTCAGTCACTTTCTTAGTATTTAAATGAAGAAATAAACTCATGTTTATTAAATAATTTAAAATAGATTATAACAATAACAATAATAATTTATTAAATTTATATGCCACCTAACTCCCAGCAACTCTTAGTTATAAACAGGTTCACTTAGTATTACAATGTATCTACAGCATGTCACTACTTGTCTTCCCTGGTGCTAAATATACTTATAATCCTATCTTTCTAACAGGCGGAGGGTTTCTTAAGGTAGGTTTCTGAGACCAGTTCTTGCTTTCCAAATCCTTCTCTCCTCAGTTCAATCCTCCCATTGCACTGCCATGCTTTGATTGGCAGTTTTATCACCCAATCATCACATGTATGTGGGACCAGCTCTCACAACCCTTTGCCATTGGCAATGCTAGTTGAGATTATACATCTACATGTAGTATCTTCTTATGAACTGATTTGCACCATGGATGAGATCACTGGCCCCATACATGTTCCAGTTCTTATAGTGTGGAAACACACTTTACTAATCTGGATGATCACATTTACTAGTGCATCATCACATTTTGGGAAGAGATGAGGGAGACATGTTGAAATTCCTCTTCTATCTGAGATGGGTATGTGAAACTTATTTCTGATGTTTCACAGTTCCAATGAGAAAATTTCTAAAAAGTTTTATTCTACTTTCCACCCATATTTTGTCTGCACAAAGTCACAGTCTAAACCAGGGGTCCTCAAACTTTTTAAACAGGGGCCAGTTCACGGTCCCTCAGAACGTTGGGGGGCCGGACTATAGTTTGAAAAAAACATGAGGAGAGGAGGAGAGCCGCCGGACCCAGCGTACCTGTCATGTAGAATAGTCCGGCTCTGTGATCTCCCTCTTCGTGCATCGTCTGCAGCTCCCAAGACAGCCCCAACACTTCTGCTTCTGACAGACAGCAGTGGTGGCCAATCAGGCGAGTGGGCCAGATAAATGACCCTGGCGGGTTGTATCCGGCCCGCGGGCCGTACTTTGAGAACCCCTGGTCTAAACTGTTAGAACTTTTATATTCTTGGAACATATTAAATATACGGTTTCTTATGTGTTTCTCTTCAGACTAACTAGGCACGTATAGCGTATAATTAACATCAAAGATTTTTGTTAAAATATCAATAGCAGGTTCAAACCAAATAAAAAATCTTTTATTATGATCATAGATGGGAAGCAGGTTCTAATCTCTAATATATAAAAATGCTCTAAACTTGGACTTACCTTAGTGTGGAATTTGGCTACTTGTTTTTCATCAAGATTTAGTTGTCTATATACTCTTTTCTTGTAGCAAAACTGAAAAGTGAACAATATACTAGTATTATTTATATTTCAGAAATAATTTCTGGGAAAAATCTATTATGCCGGAGACAAATCATTTTTTCAACATAAATTCAAATAATTATCGAAGTAAGAGGTACATTATAATGCAGGTAGTCCTTGACTTACAACTACAATTGGGACCGGAATTCTATTGCTAAGTGATGCAATCGTAAAGCAAAACGTCACATGACTGCATCGCTTGGTGACTACAATCCCAGCAATTCCCCTTGTTATCATTAAGTGAATTTCATCAGTCGTTAACCAAGGACTCACCCCAACCCAAGCCATTCTGGGCTTGATCCCTCCCAGCCCCAAGCCTCAGTAAGTAAGGAACTGCCTCCAACTCCCTCCACCCATCTCCCCCCTATCTCTGCCCTGCCGTGCAGGACAGCAAACAGCCCCAGAACCACGTAGCTCTAGGGCTCCAAGAATTCCCTGAGTTGCAGCACAACACAAAGCTGGAGTCACCCCAACCCAGTCATGCAAAGCTGCGCCAGGAAGCTGCAGCCGCCCCAGCCCAGCCGCATGAAGCCACCCCAGGAAACATTTGTTTGCGCAACCGCCTTCTCTCCCAGTTCCCCATGACGACCTTTCATCTTTCACACCCAGCCCCTGTGGCTGAAGCAGAAGTGCCTCGCTGCCTTTTCAGACCCAGCTTCTCCAGCAAACTTTTCCTCCACGTGGCTCTTGAACCTTTGGAAAGCTGCGCTGACTTCAGAGAGACTTCAGAAAGGCAGTGCAGCTCTCAAGTCTCTCTGAAGTCAGTGCAGCTTTACGAAGTCAGTGCAGCAAGGCACTTCTGCTTTGGCCATGAGGGCTGGGCGTAAAAGATGAAAGGTTGGTGTGGGGAACTGAGATAGAAGGCAGCTGGGCAAACAAATGCTTTCCAGGGTGGCTTGGGGCAGCTGAGCTGGGGTGGCTGCAGCTTCTTGCAGCCCCAGAGCCAGGCAGTTCTGGGCCTGCTTGCCCTCCCGCAAGGCAAGGTGCAGGATGGCCAAAAGAGCATAGATGGGGGGGGAGATAGGTGGGTAGGGGGAGGTGAAGCACCCCTGCAGTCATAAGTGTGGGTGGGCTATCAGGTGCCTGAATTTTGATCATGTGACCCTGGGGGTGCTGCAACAGCTGTAACTACAGGCACGGGTCTAAGTCCCTTCGTTCAACACTACTGTAACTTCAAACAGTTGCTGAATGAATGGTCGTAGGACTACCCATACCTAAGAGAACACTTAAGTTTGTTTGAGCTAGCCTTTGTACTAGCTGTTCTTTGGAACCATAACTATGACTGCATCTTCCATACTTACAGGTATATACAGTGAAGACAGCTTATCTTCCTGCATTTTTCATCTGATTCTAATTTTTTAATGCATTGCTCAATAGAAGCAAAGCATCAATTATAACTATAGGCTATTTCTGGAATCATAACCAGATAAGAGTCTAGAGGTGTCTAAAGGTGATCAGTTAGTACTGCAGCCCATAGTTTCCAATTCTGTGTCAGCTGATCACAAACAATTTGTCAATTCATCTATTCACTAAATCAAAATTAAGCCTCCTTAACTATGTTTTTGGCATAATATCACAGGTCCTTCTGCTTTATTTAATTGTACACAATATTTTTATTGATTATCTGATTGACAATGTTCCTAGCTTTTCATAGACTACAGATTTCTTTGTGGAAGTTTTTTGTGCTCATGAAGAAGAATTTGTAAAGGAAGGAAGGAAGGAAGGAAGGAAGGAAGGAAGGGCAAGAGCAAGCAGAAGACTGGAATAACATGTAGCATATAGGCTCAGTTTATTTGTTACTTGTTTTTGGCCTTCAGAAACTATTTGCCAAATAAGCAAACACAAAGTTTCAGAGCTGAAAGTATTACTGTGAGCTATTGAAAGTCTGGGTGTACATGCAATAACCTATTCCTGCTCAGAAGAAAAATGATAGTATACAGGAGTTATAAGTTAGTATTGTTCAGAAGTCACAGAGTGGAAATGAAAGAATTTAAAATATATATGCCAAAATTACATTAAAATGTTGAAAATTACATCTGAATGTTTCATCCATCTTCTTCATTTTCTCTTTACCAAATTATTTAACATAATCCAACATGAATTGTTCTTCATGTGCTCAACAAGCTAGTTTCCCATAAACCAGCAAGTATTCATTGTGAAAAAAATAGTCTGCTTACTAAATGGAAGACCAAAAACAAAAAAAAAGTAATTTACTGATGAAGGTTTAATATATCTTTTTCTAAAATGTACTTAATCCTGAGGGATGGGAGTAAGGGAGTAACTGCTGCAATTATCATCTTTTTTTCTGTACAAAATTAAGTTGTGCTGCCCAGTTTCCTTTCCATTCCTAGCCCAATTTGTTTTCTCATTTCTTTGCAGATTAATTTTTGTGACAGTTGTCCAAGTGGCTAATGAACTGTGGAGGATAGCTGAGGAATTTATCCCGCCCTTTTAACAGATCAGGAATCACTGAGGAAAAGCCCTATTATAGGTTTTTGCTACAGCCCTAAATTTTCTCAATCACTCTATAATCTTTTCCTATTGAGTGCCTATTAAAATGAATATAATTGAGAAGTGCAGCTTGAGTTTCAGACATTTAATTTCCCATAGGTAGTTCTTTAGTCTAAATATGTTTTTGTTCCCTCCAGCCACCAAACTAACTAGACTGGCTTGTTGAAGTAAATGACCATAAAGTGCACTCAAATATTTATTTCATACTTCCATTCTTCTTCAGATAGTGAACAAAGTTCCCCTCTCCATTTCTGATTATAATCAAGAAAATGCAGCATTGATAGATCGGCAAATAGATCTATAAGAAATAACAGTAAAATCCAATAGACTTATCTGGCCATAGTATCAATGTCAATCAGATCAGAGAGGAAAATATGGTAATAACTTAGAAGTAGAGATGAATAAAAAAATTAGAAAAATCAAAGCCAGCATATTCCCTAGAACTCACTTAAATTTCCAATTAGTTATGGAAAGCAATTGGGGCATGTAATATTACTAGCTATAACTGAGATAAAGCTCAGTTCTATGCAAATATAATAACTATTTTTCTTCTAACTGGGTCTTTTTTAATACCATACATTCAGTGATACAATGGTTACATTTTCAGAAAGATTTCTGGTGTGCTTATATGTGAGGATAAAATCACAACATTTGTACAAGTTAAGTTATAATCAGAATACTATAATATAGTTATAATGTAGTGAAACATTATCTGTGTTTTACTCTTAATTACATAAGCAGCAATATAAAAATGGAACTGGAATACACAGTCTCAATAGTTAGCATCTTAGAGGCTTTATAATGGCTATGACTACCTACAAAAATTAAATATTCTCTCTGGATTGTACAAATCAACAAGTTAATAATCACACAACACTGTACATAATTAGTGTAAGCACATTAAACATGGACTTGTTATCTCAGTGATTTCTAATCTGTAGTAAAAAAATATTCTTGGAGGCTTATCAGGAAGAAGAGATTTAATGGAATGGAACTCTAGGATTGGGGACGGATTAAAATGGCTGTTCCCATCCTTCTTCTACAACATCTATTTATTATCCCTTTCAGCACCAAAACTTCCACTCATCCCTTTGTCCCAGAAGGTCTCCAGTGGCAGACCAAAACCTAAACCCAGTCCTTAGAGGCAATATGTAGCTGCCAATCACGTTAGCATCATTTTTTAGATACATTTTTTTCAGATTTGTTCTCCCTCTCCTGCTGCAATTTTAGATTTCAGCACCTCATAAAGACATTGTTAACTCATAAACTGTGAGCTGTTTCTTTGTCTATAGCCACTACATTATTAAATGATGATAGTCATTAGTATCTAAATCTGACAATTTTTTTTTTAAATACCTCTAAGGATGGAACACCCTTGTTTACAGTTTGTGGATATTCCATAAGAAGACGTTCTTCATCCAAAAATTTCCCATCTCTCCCATTGTTTGCCGGCTGGAATAGGCCATAATTGAGAACATCTTTCAGACTTTGATTTAATGTGCAAAGAATTCGTTGTTTTGCAACCCATACTGAAGCCTCAGGATTAAATCGAATACACTTCTGTAAAAAAAGAGAGAACACACATAACAATTCCTATGAATATCAGCAATTCTACACCAGATGAACAATTATTATTTAATACAAATACTATTGCATTCATACAAAGTATATAATTTTGCTCATCCCCATTTTATAATTTTTTTACTTTTCAACATATAGATAGATAGATAGATAGACAGACAGACAGACAGACAGACAGACAGACAGACAGACAGAATATATAAAGATTTAATTCAACTAGATTAGAGAGACAAGGCAGTATGATGGATGTTGTATTAACATTTGATGAAGAATTCTGAGTTTAAATACACACTCAGCCATAAAGCTTATTAGATTTTATTACAGGAATATAGCAACTTATTAATGATACAATCCTATGCATACCAACATAAATAAATGCAGCTGAATTCAGTGGGACATACTACCAGGAAGGTGGAAATAAAATTCCAGTCTAAGCCTAGTTCAGTAAACTGAATTCACTTGAATCAACGGATTACTCCAGAGTCTGATAAAATCCTGGATCCTTAGACTAAAGGCTTCAAAAGCCAGACAAATTCATGTGCTATTACACAAAAGATATGCCAGATTGAAGTTACTTCTGTGTTTCTTGAAGATTATTGAAAAAACATATCAAAACCAGAGAGAGATGCAACAATATTTATTAATACCAAAAGAGATCAAGCTATTCCATTTTATGTTATACTCTTGGTTAATTCCAAAATCTGATTGGTTCACATTTCTAAACAGGTAACCTTTAAAACTTAGCTCAGGGAATAGATTGAAGCAGAACACTGGAACACTTTAAAAAGAGCTATGCAAATTATTTGTCTTGCTTGAAGAACAAATGTGACAGGAAAATTATGTGGCTATTAAATTCCCAGTGTGCTCACTGCTCAGTGCATGCTGAATTTTAATACACTGCTTAGAAAACATATCTTTTTAAAGATTAAGTACACCTCATTGAATTATATTTGATGTATAATATATAACAATTGGATCTAAAATCAGAGTAGATCAACTGAATTTGGTATTGACTGAACATGTTTAAGTTGGGATCCAAAGCTATAAGTGGGCACATATGCCTACATCAGCAAACTGCTTGCTCACATACAGCATTAACCACTAGGTAACATCCAGTTAATGAGCTCATTTTCACAAAACTGAAACATTACTAACAAAGATTTGGCAAGAAAACATGCAGGTGAATAAATGTTAAAATAATGTCATATTTACCAAGCATTAATCAGTGAGATGATGATTAATACATTGCAGTAATCAACCATTTCAGAACACCATAAAGCCACAGAAAAGCTGTCATAAACAGTGTGTATCAAGTGTTTATATCATGAATTTGACAGAAGATAAAGTCTAAAGCAGTGGTTTTCAACCAGGGTGCCACAGCACATTGATGTGCCGCAAAATTTCCACAGGTGTGTCGCATCAGCTAGAATCCCACCTCCTGTGACATCACCAGGGACAGACTGACTCAATTTCTCCTCCTGAGTCCCAGCAACCTGTAACAGGACTTCTGGTTTCGTGACCCGGAAGTCCCATCTATGAGATATGTGCCATAAGTTGAAAAAGGTTGGAAACATCTGGTCTAAAGTATTCAACAGAAGTTAACTTGGATTAATCTCTACTTGTAAAAACAAATAATAAAAGTCTGGGTCAAGTTAATACTTCTTGATTACTAAGGAAATATTTTCATGGAATTTTACATTAGAATTTCATCAATAGATTTGAAGAATTAGATTTTTTAAAAAGAATGTAATATATAGTGGATTGTAAAGTGTACATTTTATACAGACAAATTGGTGATACACATATAGTTACTTATTTAGTCAGACCTATATAAAACCTTTCAAAGAATAACCAGGAAATATCCCTAAAAGCAAAAACAGCATTTATAATATCATACATTTATCAGTCTGAACTGCTCAAAGCAAGATAGTTCTGTAATTTTCTCTAGTTGAGCAGAGAACTTCTGCAAGACCTTTTTTTTTAAAAAAAATCACATAATATTAATAAACAGTATTAGTGATTTACTGAGAAAAAAGATACAACTAAGGGTCACAGTTTTTTTAAATACATACAAGGTTTAAACATGTTTTAAGCAAAAGTAAGTTTTGTTTTAAATAGAGAAATATATGACTGGATCCACAGGAAGTTGAAACTGCAATTCTGTTAGAGGAAGAAAAAGCCTTGTATAATCTTTTAACACAGAACTTGAGTATAATTTCTACAGAGGGTTCAGAAAACAGTATGAATGATTAGTCCTTCTGTCTCAAAGTATTTCAATGAGCTCTATGTAACAGGAAAGTAACAACTAAAAGAATGTTGGATTACAATTTTCAACTTTCCTCAAAATTATTTTCATCTTGGTATACATTTTGGAGAACCTTTATTAACTTTTAGGCAGACAAACTATTTAATAAAATATGAATGCACTTAGGAGTACATATTCTTCCATGTAATAGCCCTATCCAAACTAATGCTGTTAACTACAAATTGGAAATATTTGTTTTTTATGATGAATGAGCTATCATATGGGTTTGTAGGCCAAGTGGAGGATAAAATTATGTCAGTTAGCATTCATGGAAGATGTTCTAAAATCAGTGAACATGCCAATAGAATAGGGTGAAATTATTTTGAGTATTTTATATACTAACATTCAAAAAGGAATTTAAAAAAGAGCTATGCAAATTATTTGTCTTGCTTGAAGAACAAATGTGACAGGAAAATTATGTGGCTATTAAATTTCCAGTGTGCTCACTGCTCAGTGGATGCTGAATTTTAATATACTGCTTAGAAAACATGCCATATTTTTAAAGATTAAGTACACCTCATTGAGCAATACTTGGTGTATAATGTATAACAATGAATCTATGCCAAAATCTGTGAAGATACAGACTCACTCCTTAGAGAAGGTTCGTGGACTTGAAAAAGCATACATCTTCTTGGTTAATTTTTATTACTTAAACTCTACAATAAGAATGCAATATGCATATGAAATGCACTTTGGCCATTTCATTTATAAGCGATCATTTGAGGATATAACAGCATAGATGGTCACTAGTTTTCTCATCTGCTCCACTGTTTCTTCACTAACCTGACAGCTTTTCCCAAGCACAGCTGAAGCATGACAGTTAATCTCCAGAATGAAATAGGTGAATACAAATGGGATATATGCAGGCTACAATGTCAGATGGCATGGCAAGTGCAATCCAATAAGGGAAACCATTCCTTATCAATTATCTATGTACTTGTCAGTCACTCCCAAGATCAAATCAGAGGTCCTACAGACCAGTCACTATCTCTTTCCTGGACCATCAGGAACTTGATGCTGAAAAATATACAGCACAACCCACAATCCTCTTGGTAGAATGGCTATTTATAAAGAACCCAGAAAGAAAAAATGTATCAGTAAAAAAAAAAAAAATCAAACAAGCTTGCACATGTTAATTTTCACGTACAGATGCAAACTTATAAACAGTTAATTTGCTACAAAAATACATGATGCACATCTCACAGGAAAGTAGAAAAGTTTAAGGTATCCCACCAGTTCGCTCTGTGGGCTATGTATGTCAAAGCCACTTCCTGCCCCCCCAATGAGGCTTTATCTTTATACTGAACTTTTATTGGACAATCCTCCAGGTCTGTGATGACTTCATCTTATTTTCCACTAAGATATATGTATCTTGAAATAGTATTAAAATTGTGATTAAATTTCTATTCCATAAAATATAATAACACTTCCTTTCCTGAAAAAGTTTTACAAAAATGGGGGGGGTTGGAGGGGAGGGTTATATTCTGGAAAACAACTGGGTAGGTGAAGATCATTACTCATGCTGCTTGAGAGAAACAATTTATCTGCACTTTCATTACATGAATAACTGGGACCTGAGTTGAGATATACTGTATGTTAAGTATGTGAAACCATAAATTCAACAACTTTTTCGGCTGGATACTGCCAGAGTACCCAACATTTTTACTGCCTTCAGTTGAAGTACAAGTCTGAAAAGTAACTTTCAGAGGGTCTTCTACTCACTGGGAGTAGCCAAAACCAAGCAATAATTAATTTATATGCACTTTCAGTCATTATTTATATTCAGACTGATCATCCTAATCAAAAGAAAAGAAAAATGCAATTACTTCTAATGCAACAGTGTGATAAAATGATACAGAAGCTTTATTATAATACACGGCATCCATCCAAAATTTCTAAAATGCAAATACAAAAAAACTGTTTCAGGAGGACAGAACGAATGTTGATCTAGGAGAGCTCACATTTCTAGGTAAATGCCAGCATTATTTTCTGGCAAATTCTCAAGGCTAAAACCAGTAATATGAACATGAGACAATTGAATTATTATAGTCTACCCTAAGGACATAATTCAGCCAACATGGATAATAACTGAAAAGTTAAAAGTACATACTTTAATCTCTTATATCAAAGTCAGTGGGATTGGAAACTTAAACTTAATTGAATCATATTCTTCTCCATTATTCTTTTCTAACTTTTGGTTCAAGAGCCTACTATATATGAACCAAACAGTAAAATATAATTGATGACCTAAAACAATCATCTGACTTCTTTCTAATACTGTCAGGCTTTCAAGATTCTGTTATTATAGAGTTCTAGTGTTTCTTGTGGTGCCTGTTACCTGGCCTGGTCTATTCAAAGGGCTGGTAATACATGTTTTTTTTTAAATTTCCAATTTAATTAATTACCTCTCTACTAGGTGGCACCTCTTAGCTGATCTTGGAAAGCCAAAGAAGGCAGGGCCCAATTAGAAGCTGGATCTTCACTGCCAGCTTCCAACAAGCAAAGTCAATGGGGAACCTGGCAGGAGGTCACACATGGCAATCATATGACATCGTGCCTAACGCTCACAGGGCATTCACCTAATGACTACAACTGGAACTGTTGGACTGCTCTTGTAAGTTGGCGCAGTCATGTGACATCGTGCTTTATGACTGCATCACTTAGCGATGGAATTCCCGGCCCCAATTACAGTCGTTAACCAAGGACTACCTATATTCATCAAACTACCATCCACGAAATATAATACACATTCTCTTTAATTACTATATACGGTTTCTATGATTTTACATTTCAGAAAAGTTACCAACAAGTCTTTTATCATTAAACATTCTAATAATACTATTGAACAAATCTGATCAATAGATGTTTTCATGGAATTATCCTTACAGTTTGCTGTAGATCTGGTATTACAATGCGTATCACTAATGTGTTATTCTGGGTGTCTTCCATTTTGCTAATTGGCTTTTCTGCTGTCGCCTTGATAGTGTCGTAAATGGTTTCTTCTTTAGAGCTATCTGATTCTGATTCCACTGAATAATCTGAAAAACTCTGAGCCATCTCATCTTCACTTGATGTTGGACTTCGAGGCATGTTCAGCATGTATTACACTTAGCTAAAAACACAAAAGACAAGACAACAATCAGTTTTACATGTAACATTTTAAATCCAGAAAGAGAATGGCATTTATATGTTTGTTTTAGTCTGTTCTAACTTTGCAAGTGGTGGTGGTGGGGAATCCTGGGAAAATAGAGAATCTGGTAGATTAGATAATGCTGTAGATTAGAATTGGAATACTACTTATCATCATAGAAAATGAAGTAAAAGTAATTTTCATGTATATTTCATCCTGATTTGTAAAATAGGGACACTGTAGGAATACTGTAAAACCTATATAAAGTTATGTATGACCTTTACAAAGGACTAGACTTGAAGAATACAAACATTGTAGGAATGGTGTAAGGCCTATATAATGTTTAAGTCTACTCTCTCTACTTAATAGTTAATTGGGGTAAATAAATCAAAAGCATATCAACTGTTGACATATTTGACACTAAGCAATACCATACAATCAATACTTAACAGAGATCCTATGAGTAAAAGTAAGTCAGTGAAGAGACAAACAGATTTTTGTCAGGACATTCAATCCCTGGACTTACACCCAACATTAAACAAGTACATTTCCACTACAGAAAGTCCCCTTGTCATTTGCATTAGGAGACAATAACAATCCTAATACAGTGATACCTCGGGATACGAACTTAATCCGTTCCGTGACTCTGGG